CAATTGTCAAGGACTGGTCGCGAGCCAACACCGCAGCGTGGGACGCCGCCATCGAGGGCAACTCATGCCTGCAGGAGGCCTACCTCAGGGCCATCGACGAGGAGCTGGCTCACACCATGGGCATATGCTTCGGGCACGCGCTGACGGACATCCAGGAGGTCCACGACTCCATTCTCTGGGATGTCCTGGCGCGGGGAGCCCTGCACATGGGCTTCCCCCCCGTCGTGCCGGGGCTGGAGCTCCTCCAGTGCGCGGTGCGCAAGTGCTTGCTCCAGGACGGCGCGGCCTCGGTGCCCTTTCAGCCAAGCCACAGCGTCGTCCAGGGGCTCAGGGCCGGCACGCGCTGCGCGCGCATCATGACCTACTTTGCGACGAGGCAGGTCACCACCGCCAGCCCGCGCATGGGCCGCCGCCTCTGGATCGACGACGAGTCCCAGACGGCTCGGCCCCAGGCAGGTGGCGCGCAAAAGTTTGGTCAAGTGCATTGTGAACACGGGGAAGGCGCTGGCGAGAAGGAAGCTGCGAGTCCCCCCCAAGTCAGTTGTGCTCTGCTCTAAGCACGAGGACGCGGCGGCGGCGGCACGAGCAGCGCGACTCAGAGGTTGTCAGATTCAGGCGGCGAGGCAGTCTACGTATTTGGAGTGGATTCTAGTTGCGGGCATCGGGGTCGCGCGATGCGTGTCAAGCGCGACTCGAAACATAAGCAGATGAGTACAAAGATTGCCAGGTTTTCCCGTGCCTCGCGGAGGTATCATCACACAGCGCGGCTAGAGAAGGCCGGCGGCCAGACAGCTGGCACGCACAGACATCAAGTGCATGGTATGTCTGGGCAGCAGGATACTGAGTGTCGCCGTCGGCTTGGCCAAGCGCGCGCAAGCCCTACCAAGGGCAGGTGCCCCACGACGCTCTTAGACTTGAGAGCGCCAGGCCAAGACCCCGCAGTTGTGTATCCGAAACGCACTATAGATTTATGGCTTTCGACATGGCAGTCCCATCCAGACCTTCGACGGAGCATACGACATATGTGGCCGAACATTGTGGCAGCCTTGACAGACCAAATACCTAGAGTGCAGGTCAGGCGAGTTCAACGGCCTATTTCAGCGGTCATCCTCCAGCTCCTACGATTGCAGTGGCAGCCTACTGATCCTGCGAATGGGGTACCACGGAGGAGTGGCAGCTTCCAGATGATATGTATACTGGTGTCAAAGCGGTCGACACGCATGGCCGCATCCTGACCGACATTGTCGCCTCAGCGAGCAAGCAGTTATGGAGGAAGGCGGCTAGTCATTTCTGCGAAAAAAAGGAGGGAAGATGGGGTCGACAATGAGTCGTACCGGAGATTGCTCTTTTATCTTAGTCAGCAGAAGGACGGCCCCAGGCTCGCTGAGGTTATGCTGAATGTAGCAACGGGTGCAGCGTGGCCAAAGGATAGGAAGCAGAGGTATATTGCGAGGTATGCTGGCAACACTATTTGCGATCGGTGTCAGGCATCGTACGAGACCGCCCTCCACAGAGAATGGCAGTGTGAGATGAATCGAGGTAATAAGGCGTATGACATGAGTGATGAGTTGGTGAGTCAGGCGCCGACGCAAGTCAACACAGCAGAGGCGTTCTGGCTACGAGGATTGATACCAGCAGCGTGGGTCGCTGCACCGCCACCTCCATCAGTGGAGCAGTGGTGGCATGCTGGCATCGACGACCTGACCTCAGGCTGCATGGGCCACGGGTCTGAGCAGGAGCCAGTGTTCGCGTGTGGCGACGCCAGCGGGGGCAAGGACACTGGTTCCAACAAGCTACGGCGAGTGGGGCTGGCTATTGTGAGGATGCTCAGCACAGACCGCCCGTTGGCACACTCCTGCGTGGCGGGGCCTCTGACGGGGTCCAGGCAGGTGGTCGCCAAAGGAGAGCTGCAGGCTTTCCAAATGGCATCGTACTGCACCTCAGGGGCCCTCACGTACGTCACGGACTGCGACATGGTGGCCGAGGGCTGGTATTCTAAGAAGTACATCGCCCCAAGGGGCGAGGTTGCAGACATATGGTGGGAAGTGGGCATGGCCGTGGCGCGCGTGGCATGGTAGGATGCTCGTGCGTGGCCGTGCCATCACAGTGCTGTTCACCCATTCCCACCTCACGGCTCAGGAGCTGTGCGACGGCAAGGGCGTGCAGGGCTTGGTCATTGGCAACGCAGTGGCCGACGAAGGTGCGGGACACGCTGCGACAGAGGCGAGAGTCCCAGAGGGTGATCGACATCGGATCTACCTGCACGAGAGACGGGCCTTCCTGGTACGGCACAGGCTCCTCCGTGCGGCGATCGACAGTATGGCGGCCACGGAGAGGGTCGAGGGATCGAGCGCTCTGCTGCTGCTGCTCCTCCCCCTCCTCCCCCCCCCCCTTCCGCTGCTGCTGTCACCCCCCTCCTCCCGCCCCACATTTTAACTGACGACAAGCGTAGGTGATTGAAATGCTTCTGTTCTGCCACCAAGGAATGTATGAAGGCCTG